AAGGAACAAGCCTGGATGCTCATCCTTTCTAGGCCATATGGAGCTCATGGGACATTGCCTTCTAGAGAGTGGCAGCATAAGGCTTCTCCCTCTCACTCCACTTTTCCTGCTACCAGTGTGCTCAATTCCAACTTAATTTGCTCAAAATGAATAAAGAGTGGGTCATCAAGGCCATTGAATAAAGAACCTTAAAAGAGATGGAAGCTTGAATCATCTTATTTATTCAGTAGAGTGATGGACAGAATGTCCTCCAGCACACAAGTCCATATGGTTTCTTTTTATGTTCAGACTCTAAATGAGAACATGAAGAGGTCTGCTGGAGTGTTCCACCCATACCAGAGATCTATTGTGAACATACATTCTCCAGAGAAGTTGCACATGAATGGCAGATCCCATCAAGAACATTATTAGACACAAAGAAAATCATTGCTCTGCTCTCCATAGTCTCTTTTACTTTCTTCCTTATATTGGGGTGTAAATAGGGCTGTACAAAAAAAGGGAAAGGGGAAGAAAGAATGAAAAGCAATATAAACGAACGGACTTTATCTCTCCCACTGTTGATCACAAGAAGTTGGGAACCAGGGCAGAAAAATAACAGTGTTAAGTAGGTATGCTATTACAATTATGAAAACAATTAGAATGGACTTTGGAATGGGCTTTTGAAACTAGAAATTGAGTACCAAGCTATAGAAACTTCCCATATAGTCATAAAAACTGGGGAAAAAGATTGACTGGAACAACCTTCCACTTATGAACAGATGTAATGGTAACGACATTTTACATCTGCAATGTATCAAGTTCAAACTGTCCCATAACTAGAGATGTGTGCACACTTCCTAATTAGAAGGGGGGCAGACTAGCTCTGAAGACTCAAAGACCATTCTGTGTGGTTTTCCTGAATATTGGGAAAATGTCCAACTGCATACCAAGATATCTCATTGAATTTTAAAAATCAAAACCAGTGAACTATGGTATAATATTACTGAAGTCATTTTTAAATTCCACCTGTTTGATCACCACATGATAAAAATAAGTGATTTGTTGATGTAGTCATCCTTAAAGTGTAACAGCTTTGTTTCTGGGTCAGTAATCAGATTTGATACATGAAGATACACTAGTGGCAAGATGTAGGCAAGGCCTTACCTGAGAGCATACACTTCTGAGATGCCTCCCCCTTAACACTGTTCATTCAATTTCTGCATCACAAAGAAGCTTGGAGTCCACAGAGGGAGAATCTGGGTGAGTGCATCAAAGTCTTGCATGGGGACTCACAGTAGTAGATATTTATAAAATAAATTACTCTTGCAATTATCTGGCTAAGCATCTCAACCTTTAGCACTGGCAGCAGTGGAAATGTTACGCTCCATCTGAAGATCTCCTATCAAGCCCCTTGAGCACATAGTTTCACTGATATTATTTCTAAAATCCTCTTAGAATGCCCCTTCCCCAATATATGTAAGTAAGGGAAAGCATGTGGAAGCAAACTGATTGAAAAACCAAAGAAAGGATCACAGTCTAACACACAGAGCAGGAAGCAGCTGCAGGACTAAGAGCTAGCTTTTTCTTGCCTCTCAGTGGAACCAGAGAAAAAGTCTATGTCCCAGAAAGAGCCTACAGAGAAAACAATGGAGTGAATATAATAAAATCAATCCTATAGAAGGCTTCATCTGGATTAAAGAAATGTTCGAACATCAAAAGGAGGATTAACATCATGTCTTCTTTTTTCATTAGTAGAAGATAAAATAAGGAGATTAGAAATTACTCGTGATAATTTCTTATTATGGGGGTTGTATCACCAACAGAGGTTTTTTATTTGATCAACACGTGCTTTGTAGATGTGTAGAAATAGCACAGTGAATCTCGAATAGACATAACAAATATATGTCAATAAAATCATTAACCTGTCTACCAGAATACAGACAACAAATAAACAGGCACTACTCTCAGATAACTATGAAATGAAATCACATAGACTTCTTAGAAAAGGGACCAGAGGGAGCTGACTCAGGACTAAATGATGATGAAATTCATCTTCACTATACTGTCTATTAGAAGGCAATAAAGAATGCTTTCTGACCAGGGAGAGAGCCAGTAGACAGGAGCACTTGCTCTGAGAGCATGAGTACCTGAGTTCAGATCTCCATAACCCATGTAAAAGGCTTTTAACACAGACATGCATGCCTTTAACACCAGTGCTGGGAAGCGATGACAGGTGAATCCTAAGAACAGGCTCCCCAGCGAGATCAACCCAAATAATGAGCTCCCAGCTCAGAGAGAGATCTTAAGGTAATACTGAGAGTGACAGAGGATAACACTGGATACACTTTTCTGACCTCTGTGTGTGTGCACCTGCATACCCCCATGCCTGCACCACACACATACACACAGACACACACAGATATAATACACACACAAACACACACAGATACAATGCATACACACAGACACAACACACACAGATACAACACACACAGATACAGCACACACACAGACATAACACACACACACTTTGAAAAATAGATATGCTTTCAAAATTCTGAGAGATTTGGTATAATAGAAATACCATAAATATTTCACAATTAAAGAATAAATACAGTTGTAATATTTTACGTATTTTATTAGAGCAGAGAATAGATAGCCATGGATCCATAGAACCAGGTTGGTATAATTTTATGAGGACTGCCAAGGAAATGCTTAGAAAAGAGAGGTTGTGCTGTGACTAGATGAGGAGCATTGGCCTTTCCTAAAGGACCACCTTTGGCCCTGTGAATATTCAAAAACAGCAGACATGTGACTGTAACCCTATACACCTTCCCAAGACAGAATCACAATGTCATAACCAAATCCTACATGAGAAGGATGCTTCATATCATTCTAAATGGGCTTTTGTGTCTAATATTTTGTGTTTGCCATAATGGTATGGTGGTTGACAAGAAAAAAGAATGTGGGAAGAAGTCTTGATTTGCAAATGTCCTTGCCCCCCTTGAATGAACCACAAACAACCTATACTTATGAGTTTAAGAAAATTCATGTCTATGACTTTTCACACTCACATGTCAGAAAGTTAGTATGCAGTATATCTGTAACAATGTCCACCTGGATGCATAGGGATCCATACTGAGCTATGGTCATTTACTGTGACCATGCATGTTCTCGTAAATACTTCTGGATTTAAAAGAAGGATATTAAAATATTTCTAAATTTAGAGGAAAAAACATGTTTGCTCAGCAAAAATCCATTGACTAATCATTACATTCCGTACACAGTGGAAGATCCCTGCCGGAGGCAAGCAAATGAACAAGGAGAGGGAAGTAAATATGTGTGGTTCATTACAAGGCAGAGTGTAACTTGATAAACAGGATAAGCAACCTGGGTCCTCAAACCTCGGTTACTGTACAAGAAGGCTCTCAGGATCAATTTTGTCTTAAATTTTCATGCATAGAACACTTGCCAAGATGTTGTTAAATATATAGGCCACAGGAGGTGCATGCAATTCACAAACATGATCACATTGTTCTTCCTGATAGCAGACTACTGCACATGGTGAGTAACTTACGATTTGTTATCTCAGCTAATTTGAGGGTGAATAAATGGATTTGAATGTGCTACTCTGGTTAGGGAGAGACTGAAAGATTCCGAAAGATCAAACAGTATAAAATGTCATAATCATAGTTTTGTTTCATGTATGGACAGAACTTGTGTTAATAACCAAAACAGTTTATCTGATACGTTTTCTTCCCTTCCTTCCTTCCTTCCTTCCTTCCTACCTTCCTTCCTTCCTTCCTTTCTTTCTTTCCTTCTGCCTTAGAGAAAAACATCTTGTACAACAAAGGTACTTTTGAACTAAGAAGTATGGATGAGAATATTGGTAGATTAGGCATTTGTATTACTATAAATTAATTACTCCTTCCAATGTCTACATTATCTGTGAATCTCACTTATACTTTACATCATGACAATTATTTTGTCATGCTATAATATATAGGTAAATACATTGTACTTCAAAGAGCTCTAAGCAAATTGACAATTGTGGCTGGGACTCTTTGTCCTTGGTGAGTAGATAACATTTAGGAGTAACCTCATGTCCTTTGACTCTGAGGAAGTGAACACTCATTTCGAGGTTGTTTATATGTGAATGGATGTTATTACCTATGATGTTAATTTTCTTTATCATTGCCAACCACTGACCTAACATCGTTGATACTATGTTTCATGACTGAAATTGTACTTTGTGACACACGATTCTGAACAACACAGTGTACCCGTGTGTTCATCTGACACCTATGTTTTTCTTTCACATTTATATTATATTTTTTAAAAACACAGAAGAGCCGGGCGGTGGTGGCCCACGCCTTTAATTCCAGCACTCGGGAGGCAGAGCCAGGAGGATCTCTGTGAGTTTGAGGCCAGCCTGGGCTACCAAGTGAGTTCCAGGAGAGGCGCAAAGCTACACAGAGAAACCCTGTCTCGAAAAACCAAAACAAACAAACAAACAAAAAAACAAACAAAAAACAAAAAAAACCCACAGAAGAATGAAGATATGTTATATCCAGGGACTGCACTAATAGAAATGGGGAAATGCCATAGTTTAAAATGTATGTAAATATACATATGACTAACAATAAACAGAGAACGAGATATGCATAAACATGTGCACACACACACACACACAGACACAATTTTCTCAAGAATACTACAAGGAAAGGTTTACTAATCCATCAAATAGGGGGAAACTCAGAACAAACCTAAGCAGAACAAAACCACAGTGATAAAAGGCAAAGTGGCCCATCATCCCCCCATTCCAGGGATTCTGTCCTGTTAGAACTTTTACAATTGAATTTCAATGTTGTATTAATCAGGGAACAATTATAGCTGGATTTACTTGATTGGGTCTCAGCTGAAGCATAATGCTTCACTTTACAGAAGAAGATCTGGGCACTCAGTTTTCCTGGTGATGTTCTGCTGTGACTCTCCTTTCAATGCCTTGCTAAACCGAGAATCTACTCAGGAAACAAGTTGGTAGCTGAGGAGTTCTCCCTCAAGACTCTGCCAGTGACAATCAGTCTGATGGCTTTTCGAAACCAAGGATAAAAGAAAGCATAAATCAAGGGGTTCATGGCTGAGTTGTAGTAGGCGATCCAAACTAGTATTTCATACACATACGTGGGTGTGATGAAGCCCAGGAAGGCATCAATGATGGAGTCAATGAAGTATGGCAGCCAGGAAAGGAGGAAGGCTGCCACAGCAATTCCCAGGGTTTTGGCAGCTTTCCTCTCCCTCTTGGCCACCCTGACCTTGTAGCTGTCTGATGCCTTGGCTGTCTGGTCACTCATTCTCTCAATCCTCTGAGCCTGTTGCTTAGCAATGAAGAAAATCTTAGTGTAGACAGTTATCATGACAAGTGTGGGGATGAAAAATAGTAGAAAATTGATGAAGACCCAACTTTGATTCACTGCAATTTGACAGCCTCCCACACAGGTGAGGGCAGTCACTAGATCCTCTAGCCCAGCTTCATTTGCCCCTGTGTAAAAGAGAGAAAAGCTGTAGATGATGGACAGGAGCCAGGAGAAGGCGATGCACTTGCCAGAAACAGATGCAGTGAATCTGGTGGGGTAGATCAGGGGGTCACTGACAGCAATATATCTATCGACAGAGATGAAGCACAAGTGAAAGATAGAAGAGTAACAGAATGACCCTTCAAAACAAGAATGGAATTTACAGTAACTGTCCCCAAAGTACCAGCAGCTCTCCACAGACCTCACTGTGCTGAAGGGCATCACGGTCAGTCCCACCAAGAAGTCAGCACAGGCCAGGGATGCCACCAGAAAGTTGGCTGGAGAGTGTAGCTGTCTGAAATGAAGAATGGACATCATCACCAGGAGGTTTCCACACACAGCCAGCACAGCCCCAAAGCCAAAGACTACATAGAGGACGAGGCGAGGGACCGGAGAGTAAGGGTTCCTGATGCAGGATCCATTCAAGTTCTCATAGCATAGCTGGACAGATGTGGAAGCGACCAGATCTTCACTCATGATTCTGGCTAGATCTCTGAGAAAATTGCCATCCAACGTGTTCATGTATACTATTCCAGTTTTCAAAAAATCCTTGGAAAAAGATATAAAATATGTCAATTAATTCCCACTAGTTATCCCCCTCATTGTACCTGTAAATCTTTATAGCCATGTTTAAGGATATATTTATACCTTCATTTCATAAAACTAATTCCTTAATCATAGACAAGGTGTCAGTTTCTATCATCATTATTTTCTTCCTAACATTCGAGTTGTCGATTTTCATTATTACCTACAATGCTATTTCAATTTTCAAATGTGCTTCTGAATTACCTACTTCCTCATATTGGAGAAACTAATGGGGCTTCCATAGTGCTCTGTTGTGAGATGCTTGCTTGTGCTCATCTTTTATCGGCATTACTTACCTAACTTCACAGACCCAAGAATGCCCAGAGCACGCCTTCCCTGCAGGAAAGTAGCTTAATGACTTTCAATACCTAAAGCCCTGAAGACCGAATCCCCACAGTGCACAGAGGAAAGTAAGAGACTTTTCAGCATGTTTATGCCACAACTAAATTCACACCCATCTAATTTGTGATGACATCAGATCTTTTCTGGAGATCAAGATGGGAACAAATAGCTACCCTGACCAGATCATTGTTCAGATTTGTAAGCCATACTAATTCTCTTATTAATTATTTGAAATTGCCATTGTGTTTTTACAAGAACTTTTTTATTAACACTTCCCACACTGACTGCCTTTAAAATGTCTTCAGATGATCTTTGGCTTTCCACCTTTGCTTTTTTTTTTTTTTTTTTCATTAAAGACACAAGGTGTTAAATCAATTAGTACTAATAATTACGTATCTTAAGACTTGGACTTAGAATAATGAGAAAGTAGAATATAAATAAAAAAAGAAATAAAAATAGTCACTCTTGTTTTATTCATTTTGTAAATGAGAAATATTGAAAATAATGTATATTTATTTTCATCTTATGCATGTGAGCATTGTGCCTGAATGTGTATATGTGCACCATGTGTGTTCCTGGTGCCTGTAAAAGACAGAAGAGGTCATCAGATTGCCTGGAACTAGAGTGACAGATGTTTTGAGCCACTGTGTAGGTACTTGGCACTGAATGGGGGTCCTCTGCAAGAGCAGCAAATGCTCTTAACTCCTAAGCCATTTCTCTAGCTCTGGAGTGTATACTGAAAATAAATTAGATAGAATGTAGAAATTTTAACATGGCTCCCCTTTTAAGGTTTACACATAATAACTTTATTTATATGCAACATGCACCTGAATGTTTATATCTTAGTGAAAAATCTGAGGAAGATACAAACATAACTTTAGTAGTGGTTTTCTTAACAGGTGGCTATGGTAGAAAGGTCACATTGTTGCAGCCCATATTTCACACTGATCCGCACATGATAGCTGTGTGACTAGCTCTCACACAGGTTCAATTCCATTTATTATATATGAGCATTCTCTGGACAATGACAAGTCTTCTCCTCCACTTTTAAAAAATAATTTTCCATTAATTCTTTGATAATCTTACATCATGTATTTGTCTTATGAACATATTCACCCTCTCCCAGATTCATCACCCCATTTTTCCCCAACCTTGTGTCTCTTTTTTTTTAACCAATCTATCCAGCCCAATTAGTACTGAGTATGGCTCAATTTTATCTCAGACAAATTTGCTTGTGCTCATAAAATTCTTGGGTCTTTCCTTTTTAATCTATTATCTATTTGTCTGTCTATCTATCCATCTATCTATCTATCTATCTATCTATCTATCTATCTATCTATCTATCTATCTATCCATCTCCCCCCCTCTAATTTATAATCACCCATTTCATTCTCCTTTCCTGTCTTTCTTTTTTCTAGTTAGACTCTTGTGATGTGTTGTCCAGGCTGATCCCTGAGTCCCAGGCTCCCAGGCTAGTCCTCTTGCCTCGTTCTCTCCAGAGCTGGGATTGGAAGTATATGGCACTGTACCCAGCTTCCATCTTAGTCTTTGCTGAGATTTTCCTCATCAATGACATCTGGTCATTTTACAAAATCATCGTTGATATTGAGATACGGCAAATACTATAAAAACTGTCACGTCAAATTTTCTTTAACTGAATTTAAAACAAATTCACTCATCAGCACATCTGAGTATGTCCAATGCCCCTTTGTTGAATCAACATAGAATATTGTAATTTTAGAATACTTGCTAATTTTATACTAGGAGAAAAGACACGTTTTGAATTAAATTTATAGAACTGTGAAAACCAATTCATTTTTCATAGTCATGTCAGTCATTCATGTATTTTTTGAGTGAGTTGTCCACATTACTACTGAAGTCATTTTTTAACAATTTTTATTACATTTATTTATTCATGTATTTACTTATTTGTCCGTGAGTGCATGTGTGTGTGTGTGTGTGTGTGTGTGTGTGTGTGTGTGTGTGTGTGTATGTGCCTCTGTGTGTGTGTGTGTGTGTACTCACTTAATTTCAGGACAAGTTACTTGTCATGTTGACGTTTTCTTTTGTTTTTGTTTGTTTGTTTGTTTGTTTGTTGACACAGAGTTTTTCTGTGTAGCCTTGGCTGTCACAGAACTTGCTCTATAGACCAGGTTAGCTGAAATTTACAGAGATCCGCCTGCCTCTGCCTCCTGAGTGCTGGGATTGAAGGTGTGTGTCACCACTGCAAGGCTATGTTGACACTTTCTTATGTGTGGTTTCCCAGGAGGGCTCTCCAGCAAAACTGTCACCAGTAACATCTCCTTGGCACTTTCCTTTTCCTTTTCCCTGTTTCAGTGGCTTTTAACATTTCTGTTTCTCCCAGGCTCCTGTCTTTGGGTCTGCTCAGCCTGCTCTTTAGTTTTTGTTGAACTGTGTTAAACAGCACTCTTACCAGGTATGTCCTTCTCTGCACCGCCCAGGACAGACGCTGCTCGTAGGGGAGCAGAGCCTTGTGGTCTTTTCCTTGGAGGTTTCTCTTTTCATGCATCTTGATCTTCTTCCCTATTTGCATTTTCTCAGACCCACTGCACCGTTTATAGTAGATTTCAGCCGCTGGGAATTTTTTTTTTTCTTTCTGTGAACATTCATGAGCTTCTCAACTTTCTGTTTTTCTGGTAAGCTAACAATATCTGTAGTGTTAGCGGTGTAATTCAATATATTCAGTTAGCAGCGTTATGGCAGCTGCTGGGCACAGCCTTCAAACTACAATGAAGCACCCAGAGATCCAGGAACCAACCTGGTGCTTGCTCAAACAGGGAAGACTTTTAGTTTCCACCAGCAAAAGTGAGCATGGCATATTTGCCTTTCTGTGCCTGGCTTATTTTTGCCAAATCTATTGTCTTCCAGTTCATTCATTTTCCTGCAAATGATAGGATTTCATTCTTAGTGGTTGAGCAATACACCACTGTGGATGTACACCATGTTTAAAAACTACCCGTTTCTTAATGGACACCTTGGTTAGTTCACTATTACAGCTATTGAGAATAGAACTGTAAAGAACATGGGAAGCCAGGTGTCTGTTTTGTATGTTGACTTCATTTTCTCAGGCACACTTCTAGGCTCTGTAGAACCAGATCACCCATTAGTTCCATTCTTCAGTTCTTTGTTTGTTTAGTTTTTTTAAATCACATATATTTGTTTGTTTGTTTTGGTGGGAGTTTGGCTTGCACATTTGCTGTCTTGTGTACGGCAGTCAGAGGCAGCTCTCAGGAGTCAATTCTCTCCTTATACCGAGTAGATCCCAGGCATCACACTCAGGCTGTCAAGCTTGGCAAGTGCTTTTAGTCAATGAACAGTTCACCGGCCCCATTCATTAGTTTTTAAAGAGATTTCTCACTGATTCCCACAGCTATTTTAGTTTATTTTCTCAACAAGAGTTTGTAAGTACTCCCCCTTTTCTACAGTTTTTCCAGTATTATTTTTATTTTATTTTATTATTATTTTTCTTTCTTTTTTTTTGTACTAATCATTTTCCCTGGGTAACAGGTTTCTCATTTAGTTGTGGTTTGAACTACCCTGATGGTTCAGAATGTGGAACTTTTCTTGGGTAATTATTAGTCATTTGTATTTAATCTTCTGAGAAGGGTCAGTTCATTTTAGTTCACTTGTCCACTGATTGATTGATTGATTGATTGATTGTTGTCATTTGGCTTTCTTTTTTTTTTGCAATTTTTAATATTTCTAGATACTAATCCCTTATTGGACAAATAGTTGTGTACGATGTTTCTCCCATGTGTAGGCTCTTGGATCATTCTACTGCTTGTTTCCCTTGTATGCAGAAGCCATTTAATTTGATCTCATTATTAATCGATCTCATTATTTGATTCTTTTTTTTAATTTCCTGGTCTTTTATTAAAAGGTTTAAATCATTTCTTTTCATTTCACTCATTTATTTTTATTATTTATTTGTTTGTTTGCTTTAATATGATCTCACTATGTAGCTCTTGCTGACATAGATCTATGTAGACCTGGCTGGTCTTGATCTGTCTGCCTTTTCCTTTTCAGCACTAAGATTCAAAGTGTGTACCACAACATCTGTCTTAAACCATTTCTTTTAAAGATTTATTTTTAATTTCCATGTGTGTGTTTCCATTTGGGGTCTCTGAAGGCTCAGAAAAGATGGCCTAACGGAGAGAGCTCTGAGACAAAAGAGACATCAAAATCAAGATTACAATGTCTCATTAGCTACACGAAGGGGAAAATTCAATCAATAAAATGAAACTAAAAATTGTGGGATGCAAAGTGAAATTTCTAACTTGGGCCACATATGATTAACTCCAACCCTGATGCAGACAACATGAATGGAAGTTCAGTGGACACAGAACAGTGTTTAAAGCATCAGAGAACAAGCCAGACAGCTGAGATGGTTCAGAAATTAAATAGGGAAGGGACACACGAAGGTGAGTGGGGTACTCGTCAAAGATTCTTCTCAGCAGCATCTGCTCATGCTGAGACCCATGGAAACTAAGCGGAAAAGGATGTTTTAACTGTCCACCTTCAAGTAGCAATTGAGAGAAATTTACTAAATTGCATTAAAGCACCAGTCAAAAATA